TCTTACACCATCCAATGTCTATTCTTCCTTCATCTGCAACTGTTACCCAGTGGCTTTGGGGCTGCTTTTGCCCCAGAGCTGGGGGGAAGACGCACCCAGGAACAATTCAACCCAGCTCCCTCTGCCTGTGCTCAGCGGGAAGCAAGCACAGGGGAGAGGGGAGCGCTGAGCAGGCCTTTAAAAGGGAGGGCTGCCAGAGGGGGAGACGGTGCCCTGTGCCTCAGCTTCTCCTCATCTCATGGGCCAGAACACCGGGGCCCAGGGAGGCTCTGCTTACCCAGAAGCACGTGGTGGAGCAGAGAACGGACTGCAGTCCTGCCTGACTCCAAAGGCAAGTACTGATGGAGGGTTTAGAGTCTGCCCGACACCTTGTCAAAGACCTGACACGTGTCCTCTCGCTTGAGTCACCTGCCACCTGCCAGGTGGACACAGCTGGAGCCCTTGTGTGATTGATGAGCCAAGGAACAGCGGTGCTAAGTGACCTTCCTGCGGTCACCCCAGCCTGCAGGGAGGAGAGCTGGGATTTGAACCAAGCCTGTCCAGCCCCCAGGGTCATGCTGTTTCCTGCCAACAGGGTGGGACCCAAAAGGCCCCCTTGGGACACAAATACCCACGCCCAGTCTGTGCGAAAGCCCCCATAACACTGGCTTTTGATGCTCAAAATCCAGGTGTTCTAATTCCGAGGGCTGGGTCCTCTGCAGAACCACAGAAGTGACTCCTTCAGGCACTGCCACAAGGGCAGGGTGACACCTATGACTGCCCAGGGGCCTGGGCAGGTGTCCAAGATGGCAAGCAGCATAAGGGCACCTGTGTTTTGCCAGGAGAGATGGGGTGAGGGGTGAGGGGTGAGAGCCTGCGGTCCCAGGACCCAGTGCATAAAGAGAACTCGGACCCTTGTCAATCAATTATTAAGGCGTTTGAGCCAGAGGCAGCCGAACGGGGAGCCAGACCTGGGGACTTGGGACCCGTGGGGCCCATGAGTTGGGTCCTCTGGTGACCAGGGCCACAGCCATCCCAAAGTCCAGGAAGAGGGCTTTTCCCTGTGGGCTCACACACGGTGGCCATCGCGGGACTCTGACCCCATCAATCTGGATCCCCATGTCACTAACCTGTGGCTCCTGGGCTGGTGCAGGGAAAGTCAGGCAGGGAGTGTGGGGACCGTGCTGAGTGTCTGCAGGAGGCCAGAGCCTATGTGGTGCTGGGTGGGCACCTCCCCTGGCCGACCTCTATGCTTGAGGAAGAGGATGGTTTCGGAACATCCCACGAACGGGTTTCTGAACTCGATTAATGCTTCCCCCAGAGCTGCTGGCGCCACAGGTCTCAGCCCGAGGGTGTCCGTGCTGACCCAGCTGACCTTAGTAGCCAGCCCCAACTCTTCCTCCGGCCCAGGAGGAAGTGGGACCCTGATCCTGAGGGGAGGCCCCTCCCTGTCTAGGGCTCACTTTCCTGGGTCATCACTGCGGGTGTAGGACACAGGAGGGGCAGGTAACCCAGGAGGGGGAGGAGGAGGCAGATCTAGGTTTGATGTGGGAATTTTGATCTAGGTTTGATCAGGGCATGGCAGGGCAGGGGTGGGAGTGGGCATGGGGGTGGGGG